CTTCCACTTATTTTTACCAAGAATGCAAGTGTTTCTAGCTTGCACTTAAAAATTTTCAAGTTCTAGGGAAAATTACAACGACTCGTTAATAAATAAACAAATGTTCCCTCTTTGTTCAGTACATTATAAACGCATTGTACTTTTCTTACATACGGAAATCTCGACCCAAGACTAACCTTTGCCAGCCCTTAGTATATCGATACCTTACTTTGAAAACATCGTATGTGCCTAACAGCTGCTTTTACAGGCGAAACAAAAAACTATCTTAAACAATATTTTATTTGGATATATTGTTCAAATCAGGTTTTCAAATGTTATATTTACACTTGAAAACAAAATCTAGATATGGAATTCCATAACTCGACTTTTATAATGATTTACAATAATTTACGAGTTTTTTCATTTTTTTTGCAGCAAAAAAATAAATTACGTGTTTTTCATTTGAACGTGCGAACGTGTGAATAACAAAAATTTCAGAATGAAAATAGTTTTATCTAATTATAATAATAAGATGGAACAAGGGTAGAGACAAAAAATACTATAATCTAAACTATCAAAAACAATTTTAATAGGTAAAACATAAATCTTTGGTAAAACATAGTTTGAAACTTGTTTAAAACATTGCACTTTAAGTAGGTATAAAAAAAATTAACAAAACTGAAAATTGCGGTATAACATTATCAACACAAGAACTTTTAAAATGGACAACTGAAGAAATGAACTTATTTGAATCTTAATTGATCATAAAAAGTATGGAAGTCCGGAAGTAAAGAACTTTTTAATTCTTGCAAGTTATTAAATTTGTCTCTGGTTATTTCCCTTGGCCCAGAATATAACTTTGGCAACGAATTGTTTGGAATCGGCTGAATGTTTTTGTTAAAAAAAATGTTTTTATTGTAACAGAATTTCTGAGTCTTCCCTCTCAGAAAACTTTCGATATTCTTTAAAAAGGTCAACTTTGGATTGCCAGATGGGCTCTAGATATAATTTATTACTTCCTGGCGGCATTACAACTACCAAACCTCGTACGTGCTGCTTGCGCTCTTGCCAATTTAGTTTTTCCCAAAATTCAGTAAAAATTTCTTGTCGTGTTTCTGGTGAAAATACCCTGCATTTTAAGGTTTTGTCATTTAGACTTATTTTACAATTGCATGGTGGTAACAGTTGACGAACAGGACGTGGTTTATTATATACAGCTTTTCCATCTTCAGTTTTGCCTCTTCCATTATAATCCATCCCTCTCATTCTCTTATCCTTATTGCGATTATAATCCCAGTTTTCTTTATTACCTTTTCTTTTGCGTTGCCGCTAATCCTCAACATAGAGCACTTAATCCCAAGTAATAGAATTGAGAAACTCATGCTAGTTATGTCTTCTTTAATGATCTGTTGTAGCTCTCAGTATTTAGGCGATTTTTCTAAATCAAGTTTATTTTCATCTCTTATTAATATATTAGTAGATGATAAAATTGGCACTAACTCTAAGCTGATTGCATTGCCTTTCTCACCAGCAAATGCCTTGCAGGTAGTAATACCCGTTTAGTGTTTAGAAATGCACGTTTATATGGAGCTTCAAACTGCCTCGCTGTAGGATTATTGTTATAACCTCCTCTACTTCTCATACATCCAAAAAGTAACGAGAAGTGATCCTGTGATAATTTGTATATCATATGTATAAAATACATGAAAGTAAGTTTTTCTCCTGTAAATACATAATACCTAAGCATGGTTTTAAAACTTTCTATATAAATTAAAAAAAAACAAGAAATACTGTTTTCTGGGCGAATCTAAAACTGGGTTTAATGTAGTTTACAGCATTATTATAAAAAACAGCAAAAAAAAGTAATATAGGAGATATCTGAAAGAGGTCTTTTATAACTGTATTTGCACATTCTACTCCGTTAGTTAAAAATATCAAATAAATTATTAAAAATTAATGCAAAATTAGCAGTTGCTTCAGTATCTTTAAAAGCGGCATTCAACACGTCGTTAGTTAAACACACTAATGCGTTAGCAATACTTACTCAACTTTTGAGTTGCTAATAGAATGTCCATTGTAAATCCATGATTCCAAGTATAGTGCAGGCAGACTTTTCATCATTGCACTCATTTAGTATCATTTGGGACGCAAAACAGTTCCTTTCTACTTTGATCATATGAGTCGGATCCGGAAATATCCAAATATTTTGACCAGTTACAGGATGCTTAAAATAATTTTTTAAATTATTTGTGTTGGTTCGGGTTGGGGAAACACATGCTTCTTTAATGAGCTGTTGTAGCTCTAAATATTGTCGCGACCTAGCTGGGGGTTTTCGCTAAAGTCGCTATACCAGGTTCTCTCTTTTAATCAAACAACCATTAGAAAAAATATGCATTTATTAAATATACAACTACATACATAACAAATAAGTGTAGATAATAAATTTGGGAAGATTTCGGGAAATGCCAAGTGCCAAGACTTGTGGGTATACTAAAAGAAGTACTTACAGGAACATCTTCAACGTCTTCGCTGTTTTCTACTGGTTCACTCGCAACCAACCGACTGACTAACCTTGACTAACTGACTGGCCAACTAACTCCCGAACTCTCTTCAGCATACCCTTTTATATTTTTTATCCCTCGTGGTCATCGCCGGTTACGTCTTTCGATATGTTTTCTTCTAATTACATTCACCCGGCTATGAGGAAATCGAACTTCGGTAACCTGCGTTTGATTATCGACCCGAGATTGTTGTATTTTAATTGTTTAACTTTTAATGTTATTTAAAAACATATCTAGGTCGATGTCATGCAGGTAACCGATCTCTTGGGCCTATATCAAATTGGTTTACTAGAATTATATTATATTTACTAGAATTATATTATTTGTGCTTTTTCCCAATTTGATCTAAACTCAAGTTGACATCTATTAAATCTTGACAATATTTAGGCGATTTTTCTAAATCAAGATTATTTTCATCATTTATATTAGTAGACTAGCGTGTACTAGCGACTTCGTTCGCGTCGAATTAATCATTTGTAATGGTGATGATAAAGCAAAAAGAATTTCCATTAACATACAAACTGGATAAAATTTTCTCACATTTATGTCAGCATGAGAAAAAACAATATGGCGATATTATTATACAGGGTGTTTCAAAACAAATGCGAAAAACTTCAGGGGGTGATTCCTTGTTCAAAATAAAGGGTAGTTTGTTTTATAAACGTTGGGTCAAAAGTTAACCATTAGGGAGATATCGCGGTACAAAGATGGCGGAAAAATAATGTTTTTATTCTTTATCTTGAAAACGAAAAACGATAGACTAATGAAATTTTATGGAAGCATTACTTTTATGAAAACATACTTTCCGGTAATTTTCTCATTTTTTAAAATGAGTGGAAGGTGTTGAAATAAACTACCCCTATCATTCTTGTTAACGAAATTAAAAAAAAACTTATCAAACACATGCAAAAAAATTAATTTGGATAGTTTAGTTTGTTTAGAAACTTTTTTATCACTTGTGTTTTTTTGATAAAACTCACCGATTTGAAATTAAAAAATAAAATGTAAAGCATTACATATCAGGACAAAAACATTTTTAGATAAAGAATCTAGTGGGCTGCTCTAATTTTTTAGGAAAAAATCTAGTTGGCCGCTGTCACTTTTTAGGATGTTTCTAATATTATTTTATTGACATTACTCTACTGCAATACGTTATTATCTAGATTCTTATTATTATCGTTATTATCACTAGATTCTTTATCTAAAAATGTTTTTGATCCTGATATGTAATGCTTTACATGTTATTTTTTAATTTCAAATCGGCGAGTTTTATCAAAGAAACACAAGAGAAAAAAAGTTTCTAAATAAACCAAGCTATCAAAATCAATTTTTTTGCATGTGTTTGATAAGATTTTTCTTTAAATTTCGTTAACAAGAATGATAAGGGTAGTTTATTTCAACCCCTTCCACTTATTTTAAAAAAGTGAAAAAATTACCAGAAAGTGTGTTTTCGTAACAGTAATGCTCCCATAAAATTTCATTAGACTATCTCTTTTCGATTTCAAGATAAAAAATAAAAACATTATTTTTCCGCCATCTATGTACCGCGATATCTCCCGAATGGTTGACTTTTGACCCAACGTTTATGAAGCAAACTACCCTTTATTTTGAACAAGGAATCGCCCCCTGAAGTTTTTCGCATTTGTTTTGAAACACCCTGTATAACTTGGTAATATTTGAGGGGTAGTTTCACCTCGTTGGAATTTGACTTTCGAAAAATCTGTTTGCCAGAAATAAGCTTTTTACGTCAAGCAGTTTAAGCAGAATCGTGTTTAAGAAATTACCCAACTTTTTGGAACACCCTGTATGACTTTTTAAACGATTTCAAAATAAGTAAAAAAAGACTAACCGTTTTTTAAATAACAGATTTTGTAATATTTGAGGGGCGTTTTCACCCTCTTGGAATTTGAGATTCGAGAAACCCCTCCTTATCGAACCTTTACACCCCACAGTCAATCCATTTGCCAAAAATCAGCTTTAAACGTCAAGCCAGTTTAAGCAGAATCGTGATTACTCAATGGTCATATTTTATGAAACACCCTGTATAAATTTTTAAAGAATCTTAAAATATGTAAAACAACAAAATAAAATATACGTGTTTAAGAGTTTTTCCGAAAAACTCACCGGTTTTTAAATAAAAAATATTTTAATATTCGAGGGATAGTTCCACCCCCTTAGAATTCGAGTTTCGAAAAATCCCTTCTTATCGAACCTCTACACCCTAGAATCAACCTGTATGCCAAAATTGAGCTCCTTACGTTGAGTGGTTTGAGCAGGATCGTGATTAATCAGTATATCAGTCACTTAAGGATTTTATATATTAGTATAGATGATAAAATTGGTACTGACTGTAAACTGATTGCATTTCCTTTCTCACCAGCAAATACCTCTGCAGGTAGTAATACCTGTTTAGTGTTTAGTAAGACACGTTTATATGCAGCTTCAAACTGCCTCGCTATTGGGAATTCAAGAGAAGCGATACGCCCTCTGGTGGCTCTAAAATCAACTGGTTTCTGCCACATTATTTCCTAACCTTACTTTTATATCGATTGTTTATCTAATGTTTACACTCATTTTGTGTCTTTTTCAAAATTATATTTGTTTTTCTGTTATCGCGTGTTGTGTTAGGATTAGAAATAAAAAAAAACGCGTCGAACGTATAACCTCCTCTTTTTTTGAAGTCGGTTAAAAAAGGAGAAACGACCAGTGAACCAGTGTACCAAAGCATGGCGTTCAATAACAATTTTTGTTGTGTGCCACAGTGCAAATCCTGGGCCAAAAAAGACCCTGAAGGAGAATTAAGCTTTCACAGATTTCCCAAAAAGGATGCTAGGAAAGTTTATGTCGAAAATAAGATGGGAAAGTGTTTAATGGATCAAAGAAAAGCTTGGATATTGAAACTTAAAATTGGCAAGCAAGTTTCCGAAACTATGAAAGTGTGCTCTCTTCATTTTGTCAAGGATGATTATTTTAACAAAGGTAAATACTAAGTATAATAATGAGTGATTTCATTTAAATTTTAATTTTAAAAATATTCTTTATTGAAGTGACAAAATTTAAATGTTAATTTAGTTTGTTTCTTTTCTATTGCAGGGTTAACCACACAAAGGGGTAGAGTTCTCAAAAAGACTGCAGTACCTTCTCAAAATCTTCCCATTTCTACAGTTAGTTCAGCAAAATCTGCAACTGCAACATCATCATCTGATCGTGCTTCTAGATACAAAAAGAGAAAATTGTCCAATCAAAACGAAACTGATTTATGTACGAGCACAAATGAGGACTCCAATGAAGATGACCAAGATGATGAAGCAGGTAGCTTAATAGATTTGCTGAAATCTACACCAGATGTTAGTGATAAGGAAGTAGATAGTGTGCTTTTACAAAACAGGAAAGTGACTGTGCGAGATTCAGAAGTGCAAGTGGACACACCTAAAATCAACACACTGAGTGATTTACTAAAAACCGATTCTGCATTAAGAAGTTTTACAGGCATTAATAATTTTCAAATTCTAGAATGTATTGTGGAAATAGTAAAAAAAAAATTTACAATTGATACAAGATCACATCGTCTAGATGTGCGAGAGAGAGTTCTTTTAACAATGGCAAAATTAAAATTGGACTTAAGTTATATTACTTTGGGTGCACTATTTAATATATCTGGTCAGCTGTGCAAAACATATTTTTTTGATTTTTTAACAATTCTAAGTCAAGTGTTTAAATCATGTATTTATTTTCCTTCTGAAGAAGAAATCTCAAAAAATTTGCCAAAATGTTTTGAATCTTTTAAGAATTGTCGAGTTGTTTTAGATTGTACAGAAATCTTTATTCAAAAACCAAGCTGCTTGTGTTGTAGAATTAAGTTTTATTCCCAATATAAAAAATCTACAACTGTCAAGTTTATGACTGGGGTGTCTCCTGGGGGGATAATAACTTTCATCAGTAAATCTTATGGTGGAAGAGCATCCGATAAATTAATTTTTGAGGAAAGTGACCTAATTAAATTGTTAACACCTAATAGAGATTCAATCATGGTTGACAAAGGTTTTCTGATTGACAATTTATGTGCTATGTATAAAATTAACTTAATAAGACCACCATTTTTACGAAACAAAAAGCAACTTACAGTTGAAGAAGCTATTTGTAATAAAGAAATTGCTGCAGCACGAGTGCATATTGAAAGGTCTAATCAGAGGTTAAAAATCTTTAACATTATTAGTGGAAAGTTGCAGTGGTCATTAGTTTCAAAAATTGATGAAATATTTACAATTATTTGTGGAATAACTAATCTGTCAGCTCCTATACTATCTGATGAAAGATTTTTATAAGGATTGGTTATGCTTCAATATGTAGTTAATTTTTTTTAGGACTAGGTTGTGGTTGTAGGTACATATTTTTTTATATTTTTATAGTTTTTTTTTCACGAAAGTACATGTATTTTTGTATTATTTTTTGCATTGTTTACGACATGGTTTGATTTAATTTGATCATTATTATGACTTCACGGGATGGGTTACACAAGGGGTTCATTGGTTTTAAAAATTAAACAAAATTACTCCATTAAAGACTGAGACATTGGCCATTTATTTCATCTCACATATTGAATGTATCATTTTATTAAAATAATTGTTTTTAATTTTCTCCAACATTGTTTTGGAAAATTTATAATCATTTTCCACCTCTAATATTACACAACTGTCATCATAAGATGCATATAAACATAAAAAACATTTTTCTAAGTTCAATATGCTCATTCCTAATTGAATTTGACCATAATATTGGTGTTTTTTCTTAAGTGTATATTTCCCATTTGAATTTATGATGAAGGTGCTTGATCCTAGACACTCTTCAATAGACATTGTTGCACCTGAAATATTTTGCATTTTTTGTTATTTGTTTAAAAAAGGTATTTGAGGACTTACCTAAGAATAAACATTTAATTTCCAATAATGCAACTGGCTTTCCCTCAGAATTCACTACCATACCATCTGGAGAAAAGCCCAACCATTTGTTTTCTGGTGATGTTATCATTCCACATTCAATTACGTCATATCCTGTTTTTGACATAAAACACTCTCTCGCAAGTTTTTCGTATTTTTGGCCATGTTTTACATATTTGTTTGTAAAAGATTTCGGGCAAAAGTACTTTTTACTCTTCATTTCCCAGTCCATTCCTCCATAGGTGTAGATCTCATAACACCTAGAGCCAGTAATTCGATATTTTCTGGCTTCATGCCACTCATGGGAATTTTGCTTAAGGGTGAATAGTTCATCTTGATCTTCATTCAAGATACTACGGTATAGTGTTGCACAGCAATTTGATATAAAATTAGCTTCCACGCTAGCAATTTCCATTAATATGATGGACTGTGCAGCATTATTTAAAATTTTGCAGCCTACTGCATCCAAATCGATTGATTTGGTACTGCTTACAGTACTGTCCAAATTCTTGACACGTCCTTTTCTAAAACATGTATGATCATAGTTATATAAAAAATTTTAATTACTGCATATACTTACGAATGTTTTGCAATAGCACAGTTTGGTAAATTCTTGATAAAAAATTCAAATATACATTTTTGTTTTTGAAGATCTGAACTTACATCCAGACCAACTTTAGATCTGATGCAAGGCATTTCAAGTACAGGAATAGCCTTATATTTATTATGTACAAATCCTTTTCTGCCAGACCAAGCACATGCAAGTTGAGTTTGAGAAATATCCTCTAACTCAAACAGATTTTGCCTTGAAATATAAACAACAGTAAATAAGTATTCTAACATAATTTACATAAAATTTATAACTAAACTGGACAATAATAACAAAAAAAACCTACCTTGTTAACAGTATTAGGAAAGCTGAAATATGTTTGCATTGTCCACCAGCCCCGGCTTTACAAGTGCAGTACATTTGCTTAATTGAAGCAGACCTATTGGAAATTGTTAATTCCCCATTTAATTCATGTGGATCTGACTGTAAGGCACTAGTTTGCAGGCAAAGAGCACACACTTTCAGGAAAGTCTTGGTTAATGCAGTTTTTCCAAACAAGATTATATGGCCTGCATTAACCACCTCTTCTCCTTCAACCACTGCCCTTGAATTCGCATTACAACCAATGTAACTGAGATATTCAGTAGGCTAAGGTTATTTGAGCCATATTTACTCTACAAACAACAGAAATAAAAAGAAAATTATAGAAATCAATCATTTTATATCATACTCACCCAACAATGTGGTTTTGAGCCACTCCAAAAAATACAATTTAAAAGTCTTTACACGAATCACAGCAAAATCACAATAAAATATAACAGTAAAATAACAACAAATGAAAGCAAAAATAATGAAAAATCGTAATAAAAACGCAAAAAAACACCAAAATTCACAGACGTAATAACAAACGAAAGTGAGGTTAGAAAATAATGTGGCAGAAACTAGTTCTGTCAATAACCGCCGTGGCGCTGCGATCTTAATTTGAATTCCCAATAGGATTATTGTTATAGCTTCCTCTACTTCTAACACATCCAAAAAATAATGAGAAGCGATCTTGTGATAATTTGTATATCATATGCATAAAATACAGGAAAGAAAATTTTCTCCTGTAAATACATAATATAAATTTACAAAAATACAAGAAATCCTGTTTTCTGGGTGAATCTAAAACTGGGACTCCTATAAGTTTCAAGTGTTTAATGTAGTTTACAGCATTATCAAAAAAATTAATATAGGAGATATCTGAAAGATGCCTTTTATAAATGTATTTGCACATTCTACTCCATGAGTTAAAAATATGAAATAAATTATTAAAAATTAATGCAAAATTGGGGAGAAGAAGTTGGGGACATGAAATCTACATTGCCCAAGGTGGGCCTCTTTGTTGAGTTTTTTTCGGCCAGGAAAAAAGGAAATCAAAATGTTTCCACCTTTTTACTTTATCTATCCCAGCTCCAGATGGCTTATATGATCTAAATAAGACATATTATCTATAATTTTTTGTTACTTTAAAAATTTTCGAAAAAAATACATTAGACAAAAACCTTTAAATGCTTTAGGAAAGTATCACGAAGATTTTTCCATTTTTTTCGATCGATTCCAAGGGGATTGCTCCACTAAAAACTAAATAAACTAAACTAAAAACTAATCAAGGAAAAAGTATGTAAAGTAACTATTCTAAAAACTACTAAAAGAAACTACAAATACTAAATAAGAACAATTAATAATAACTAATAAAGAATTAATAGTAAAATTGATAAAAAAGCACAAAATAATTGATCGACCGTATCGACACCGCTCTTGGTTTCATTGTATGACATAATGATTTTTGGTTTGTTCGTATTTTCATCTAAGCTGTCATCATCATGCATACTCGATATGAGAAGAACATTCTTACCCTTTTTTGGAGCATACGATACCAACGTACAGTCTTCTTCAAAGCCGAACATACTTGAGCCAATTGATCTAACACCTGCCACAAATTCCGGGGGTAGTTTTTTTATTCTTCTTTGTGGTACCGACCATAGTTAATCTTTTTTGCAAAAAGCTTTTACATAACGGTAAACTAGTGAACCAGTTATCCATAGTGACATTTCTACCTGTGTTAGTTAGCTATGGGCTGTACCAAGCGCTCAACAACTGATTTGCCGGTGTTCTTAAAACAAAATGGAAATGGAAGGGGGGGTTGCTTCCCCACGTAAAGCGTGTAAGCGTGTGTTCCCTGTTTAGCGTGTAAAACTCGGCTTTACTAGGGATATACAGCCGAAAATTGCAATTCCCCCGAAAACCAGGTAAAATTTCATCTACGGTGGTAAACGCTGGTGGTGTAAATTTTTTTTTGCACTTTGAAATAAACAATTCAAAGAGTTCTCGTATTGCTGCCAGCTTATCTATATTCTGCCTTTCAGGACGAGTGTTTTTATCGTCAAATCATTCCTTAGCAAAAATCTGAATCTTTCTCTTGACATGGTCAATCTAAATAATTCAATCGAAGTGGCGTTAGTTTTCCATAAATCTTCGGCATTTACATGATTTGTTTTTCGTACGGCTGCAAGGTATAACAGTCCTAGCAGTGCTTTAATTTCAATTTTATCTGTTGTAGTTGCTGTTCGATACTGAGCGGAAAACTTCTGCTGGGTTATAAATAAATTGGTAGAATCGACAATAATATTTATTAATTCGTCGGTGAAAAAGCATGACCAAATATCCAGAATATTTTCTGAAGTTCGCGCCGGTCCTTTTACTCCTGGCAGGTGGAGAATTATATTTTTTGCTCGAGTTCTAACTTTCTGATCTGAAGAAAGGATCTATAAACTTAATCTTTTTATTTGGAGGAGGATCTACATCTAAATTTTGATCTTCTAATAATTCTGATTCGAATTCATGTTCGCACTCAGAATCTTCATCGCGCACCTCTACATTGTCTTCTTCATCCTCTTTACTTTTTGGTTGTCGCTCTTAACTGACTTTACAATTTTTCTCCAAACATTGACGATGTTTAGTTCTCCGATGATACGCTCGAGTAGGCACCCCCTCCCGGAGATCCGATCGAGGGGGTATTTTACCTCCGGACGATGATTTTGTCCTACTCGAATGTTCCATCTTTGATGAGTGTAAGCTGCGTAAAAAGGTTAAACTGTGACGGTTACGCTGCCGCACAGTTTGGTTGCAACTGTAGCACGGGATGGCTATGGCACAGTGAGGACTGCGACGATAGTCGGCCGGCTAGGAGTAGTTTACTACTCCTCTTCCCCAGAAAGGTGGTAGGTCTGAGGGTTGTATAATGATATACCGCCTATACTCGGTCGTCAGAGCCTCGTTTGTTTAAACAGGGTGCACCACGTGAAGGTGAGGTTGACTTTTGGGAAAGCTAGGCTATATGTATCGCTTCAATACCCCTTGCACTCCAAAAGCAGTGCCGATTCCAAATGCCGATACACACTTCTCACTCGGACAACCGATAAAACACTAAATAAAATTAAGCTAGCTAGCCGCGCGACCATATTGACGCGTTACGAACGACATTTCGGGGGGAAAAGGGGGGTTCAGTCTCAGAGACGGGATGTTAGCTGTGAAGGGTTAATAACAGTTCCCTTTGCCTTTGGAATAGGCAAAACTTTTGCGACAGTGATCGGCTCTGGGTTGAAATATAATTGTTCTTCTGGGAGCGGTGATTGCCTACTAGTAGAGGGTTGGGGTGATTTTCTTTGCACTAGGGGTGCAGTAAAAAGTGTTCCTCTACGTTGTGGTGAATTATACAGATTTACTTCTTGATCAGCTGGAGCGAAGTCGTCTTCGGTGAACTTCGGTGGATTTAATAGAAATATTCCAGCGGCAGAAAAACCAGAGATTCTCTTTTCCACGTTTGCTACTTTTGTTCATCGCTAATTTTTCTCTTCAAAAATAAGTTGCACTTACTATAAGCGTTCTTCAGAGGCACAAAAAAGTGAGATCAAGGCGCTGCAACTTGTGCGAAGTATGAAGTGGAATGCTGACCATAACTATCCCGTGACTTTTACAAAATTCATAAATAGATAAGGATATATGGCTCGTATGGTTTTCTAATACCAATAGAACTGGATTATCAACAGAAGATGATAAAAACTTTTGCCTGAAAATGTTTAAGCCACATCATAAAAACTTGTTCATTGCTCCATCCATTTATGTGCAGGTACAAATGGCTCCACATGGTCCATTCCTTTCCAACTGAGGGTTCATTTTTAACCTCGGAAAAATAAATAATAGCGGCACAAAACTACCTGTAGCACTCACGGTACAAATAATCGTAATATTTTTTCCGCCATCCCAAGAACAAATAGATCCAAATTGTTTAATACCTTTAGGCCAGTCTTTTGCTGACTTTTGCTGACAGCATCCTGTTTC